TTATTCATACGCGGGTGGTTCTTTAATTTATTATCCCTTAGACATATTAAATTTTTTTAATTTTATTTTGAATTTTTCAGCTGTCCTATTAAAAAAGAAAATAGGATGCATTTTCTTACTTTCAGTAGTCATTTATGCAACCCATATTTTTTTTGCTATTATTTATATCATTTACTGTTTTCCTTTTTAATTCATTGGAATGCACAACTTATTTTCATTGTTCAATTATTATTATTATTATTAATTAAACTAATGATAGAAAAAGTAAAACAATCTATAAATTTCCGCGTTACCAAACTTTCGTTTTACATATAATAAATAGTTTACGTAATGAAGCGCAGTAGATAATGTGCTTATTTTATTGATTTTTTCTAAATGACTTTGACTATTATTCTCGATATCTTAAATTTAAATTTTGATTATTAATTAATGACTTTATGTACCAAATGAATTTTGATGCATCCGTTATGTACATGCGCTCTATATGAACAGTACACAATAACGATAACAAAAATTTAATTATGCACGAGACAAATACATGGACTTGTAATTTATCTTCAATTTCGAGAAACGGAATATTTATTTTGATTTATAAAGGGAAATTCACTGCATAAATTACAAGCAAAAAAAAAGAGAGAAGATGACGAGTACAGTTTTTAATTAAAAATCCGCGCCTATTATAAATGATAAATCGAGAAAACGAACAGTGCAAAAGTAACAAAAGCTTCGGTCACTACACCCCAATTTACTAAACAATAAGCAAATTTCCAAATAAATTTCGGAACAACATACATATAATACGCAAAGCATTCGTCGCACACATAACACACAACAGAGCACGATGTAAATTTTGTGAACGCCACTCTTTTGGCATATACATGTTCTGTTCATGTATATACCACATGTCTTTCATTGTGATGAATAAGAGGAATGTCACCCGTAAATCTGTGTTGTTATTATTTATGTTGATATTTAAATGGACATGTATCCGGTGGGGGGATAATCAGCAGTAAGGCGTGAATGTATGCATTCTCTTAACTACATTTAAATCGAGATTGGGAAATCACACACACTCACCGATGGTCAACCGATGCTTTAAATAAGGGACGTTTAATTGAAGATATTATTTTGCTCATATAAATAAACCATTGTTGCTTTTGTTGTCCTTTGTTTGACATTTTTGGAATTCTCCGACCTGAAAAAAGGATAAACAATTGGTTCCAATCCCCTAAGCGAATATGTAATATTAAATGAAATTTGATTTTCTGCAGAAGAATGGCATCAAAAAATTTGTCTATGTTCTATTATTAAGACCGAGTTTGATATTTATAGAATTTGTAATAATCAAGCAGGTGCATAACTATCTTGCAACTCCTTCGATTTAGATTTCATGCATTATTATAGCGATTTTTATTCCTAACAATTTGGTGGTTCAAGAAAGACAACGGAAAGGAGCCTTGTATTTTTAGAAAAGTGTCAAACTATCGGAATCACCAAGAAACTCTCGCTCAGTTCGTATTTTTAGTTTCTTAAAGACAGCGTATTCTTAGCGTGCTGAAAAAAAAGCTCTATTTTACGCTGCAAATGAATGAATAAACAATAATAATACGCGCATGTAGCACTATTTAAAATGTAATAATTTGCGGCGAAGGACTTAAAGCGGAGTAACATTACATTTATAATACGATATATAATTTTCCTCTTAGGTAGATCCGCTCATTGTATAAATATACACGCATCGGTATATATTTATTTACACTACTATTATATTACATCCATATAAAAATACCGTATTTTCTGCGAGTAAATAAACGAATAGGATAGATAGAAAGATAGATATAAATATATACAGATATATATATATATATATATATATATATATATATATATATACATATATGTAGATGATAATATGTAATATATGAATATATTATTATAGCTGCACGTAAGGAAGACAAAGGAACATTGTGTGATTCATGTTTTTTACGATATAGATTGATAATTATATATTGCAAAGCAACAAAGTTTGAAAAAGTTTGATTATTATTATTGTACTTGTTATTATTAACATTATTATTAATAATAACATTAGTACAGAGAATTTATATTGTTGAAGAGAGTGAACCGTCTATTCTATCTGTGCTGTGTGTGATTGATACATGTACATGTAAGATGGAATGGGATAAATAAAATAAATAAAATAACCTGATGAATAAACTAACTTTAAATAATTTTATTATTGACCAACAAGAAGTTCTATTTCATTACCTTTTGAAGTAAGGTAAAAAAGACGTCTAAATTTAATATTGTATTGTACAACATAAATTTCTTATAAGAACAAGCAGGACGAGAATCATCATTTGTTTATGAACTTTAAAATCGTCAAAACTTCTTCTTCTTTAAGCAAAACATAAAAAATATCGTCTCGTGTCGTATCGTATCATCTCATATCATGTCTACTCAAATGTCTCTACATGCACCAACGATAGAGAACGCAGTCGCCCTGATTAAAATTTTAAATCATCAAAATGTGTTTCCACCATTGTTAAATGATCCGGAAAACCTGATCCCCCCTGAAAAGATAACAGAGGATGGGACATTACAGCCACGTAGACCACAAAACGCTTTTTTCATTTTTCGACAAAATGTTATACATGAAGCAAGACGATTCAAGATAAGTAACATGAGACTTATCAGTAAAGCTGCGAGCATAATGTGGCAGAACGCTAATAAACAAGACATTGAAGTTTATAAACAATTAGCAGCACAGGTTTCTGCATTACATCGACAAAAGTATCCAAGCTTCAAATATGCATCAGCACGGTCGAACATCGTCTTCCGAAGACAATCAAAGAGTTCACCCGCTAAAGCATTGAACTTGGCCAAAGAATTTGACCCATCGAAAGGATTGAACCTACCTAATGAACATTCACAAGACAACCCGTTATTAGAATTTAATAATCTCGAATTAGCCAACAATAATCAACTCGATACAAAAATAAGTATTCAAAATTCATTCATAAATCATCATCCTCTTTCAAATCTCTTTTTCGTTGAATATGACTGCATGCCACCGAACATGGACTTTGTTAATTATCCGCAGGCGTCAGAGCTAAGCAACTTTAATACCGGTTTTCATGAAGCTTTAAGATGATAGCAGAGGGAATCATCTAATCAATCAATCAATCAATCAATCAATGTAAATTATTTGTAGTCATATTCGTTCGCAATGCTTTCAAAAAAAAAAAATATCTTTTTATTCACTTCGGAGCTAATATTTTCGTTTGCAAAAGAAAAATTTTCGATTATGTCATGTATCATATGTTTGTTGTTGTCATTACCGGTCCGATTTATCACCAAAGAGAAAGAATTTCAAAAATTAGTCAAGACTCATTCTTCATATAAGCTAATATTAGTTGAATAGCATTAAGATTAAATGTTCAATTAAGATTTCATTCGTTTAGTTGTCAGAAAAAAGTTATTAGCATCTAATTATTAAAAAATCAAGATACGATGCAAACCTATTGGTTGTTATTATAAGGATCAAAAGAGAGAGATATTTTAGCTTTAAATTGTTTCTTAAGGTTTTGTTATTATTACGTGTATTGTTATTATTATTATTACATGTATTATTATTATTCTTATTGTTATTGTTATTGCATGTTGTTGATCTTCAATAAAATAGTTAAGCATGGTTAGAAGTCATGTTATTTGAATCTTTAAAACATTTGTACACTTTTTTAATACGTTGAATACATAGGGGGTATATTAATACATGTCACAGAAACTCCTCATCGCAACAAGAATAATTGATAATCATTTTTTTTTTTTTGAAAATAGTTGATTATAAGAATACCAATCATTAGTGGTGGACATTTTTCTTGACAAATAAGGTGTTTTAAGTCTTACTTAAAAGGATTAATGGTTCGTAATGTGAGTTCAAAAAAGACTCTGGATCTTATCTCATGACTTCAATCAGCTCAATTAAGCTCTAAATAAATGCATAAACTGACTGACTTGGTATTGGTAAAGACCTACCAATTGATCCTTAAAGTAAGAAAACGTTGCAAATTTACCGAGATTTAAATTGAATACAGATGACAAATTAATAATTTTTTCTGACTATTCTCAATTTGAAACATTTCTAACTCTCATTTTGTTGATTTTAAATCTATAATTTACCCCTTACATTTGATGCAGCATTCAAAAATTTCCTGATACCTAACTTTGAGGAACAAACTCGATGTTTCGGCGTGATGCGAAAAAGATGCCACAATTAAACGGGATTCTGCCGATCACAAAATAATTATTTTTTTCCTTTTGTTGCTATCACAAATTTCTCATCACACGTACTTTTTGATCACAAAAATTTACTCATTACACGTCTAAACGATCACCCGATTTTTTTAAACCAGTGTATTCCTGATTTCTCATCCTAAATCTAAAATTTTGATCCGTCACGCAGATTCCCTTTTTTTATCGATACTAGCTTTCGCTAATACAGTACATTTGTTGATCTGTATTTACATGTACATATTGATTTTGCGTTTGTTATAAACACCAATGATTTGAACTTTTATCGTTATGCCAAGTGCATGTATATGCTCTGGATCAAGTCAGGATTTAGACCATTTCAGAATATAGATCACGTGAAAAGTTAAAATAATTTAGTCTTATCCAGAAGATCTTTGACCGATAGATAATAATGATTTCCAAAATCCCAACTTGGTCCCAGCACAAATTATCATGTATTCACTATAATCGATATAGTAATCGATCAATGGCTAAGTTTTTTGGGTTATGTAAATGTACATATTAGTTAAATAAATGGCCGACCATACTAGGCCTCAATAAAAATAGCAAGAATTCAAGAAAATTCAGGTTGCTCGGAGGGAAGTTTTCCAACTAGATGACTTTCATTTTGAATCTAACTCATACTAAGAGTAGGGTTTCTAACATGTTTCTGATTTTCAATGTTATGATTTTCCGAAACGCTCCCGAATTTTATCCTGAATTAACAGCTGTAATTAATTCCTTCCTACCATAAATGATAAATCATTTATGGTATTCGGATTAATATTTTGTCTATGTATAACGTCATTTTATAATATCGTTCTAAAATAGGTTTGAACTATCTTTATCATTAAAATCCGCAGTCCTTAACTTCTTCTATTCTACAAATGGTATTGTTATTGAAATTTCGACGACCAATCAAATTTTTACGTTTTGATTTTATCAGGGCCTGGGCGCTAACTCATCATCAATTGACGAGTTTTTTAAAAAAATTTTACTACTTCGCATCTTTTTTCAAGTAACTAATATAACGAATAATAATCTGCATTTTCCTTATGTTCCATAAATAA